GGTCACTGCTTTGTTTTTCATTCCCAGTCACTGACTAGAAGTTCTTGTCACATAACAGCTGGATCACTGACAGATTCAAAATGAGAGCTTGAAGCCATTGTTGAGCAGATTCCTGTTTTGGAGGCCTTATGTCAAGTTAAATCAGACAGTTGGTGGTGTTGTGGTTTAACCTGGCATGTGGCTGAACACCAAACAGTCATTTCTTCACTTACCGCATTCCCAGTTTGGTGGGGGAGAGAATCAAAAAACCAAGTAGAACTTGTGGGTTGAGATAAAACTATTTACTAAGTTAGAGAAAAAGAGAAGGATAATGATTATGATAAATATATACATATATATACATATATATGAACGTATATAGCAAGTGATGAACAAGGAATTGCTCACTATCCCCCCACCAAAGCTCAGCACAAGAGAGCCAGATGAACTCCCACTCCCTTTAAAATTCCTTCCACTTGATGTCATATGGTATGGAATATCCCTTTAGTGAGTTTAAGTCAGCTGTCCTAATTCTGTTTCCTCCCATCTCCTTGGGCCCTTCACTGAAAATGGCCTTGGCTCTATACAATACTGCTTAGCAGTAACTATTGACATCTGTGTGTTATCATTGTTTTTCTCCTAGAACCAAAACAGAACTCCATACCAGACACTCTCAAGAAAAAAATTCCACCCCAGCTTAAACTAAGATGGATGTCTAAGTAGCTGTCTTGCATTTTCTGAGAAAGACATGAGTCCCACCAAACCAAAACTATCTAAACATTAGATATCTTCTGTTACGTGCAATGACCACTGTGATGTAGTTAACAAACTAATGCTTATAAACGAGACATGTATTTTTGCCAAATTTTGTGTGTGACAAACAAGTGTTCCCCATTTTTGAGTTACCCAAGGAAGAATCAGATCTGATAACCTCTAAATCTGTGATTATCTATCTAAAATGTCAGTTATTCATTTTTGGGGGGATAAAATACAAAAAAGAGAGAAAGAATATGAATCTTCTTCTGCTGATCAGGACTGGAAGGAATTACATTTTAAAGAACTACAAACCAGAAATTTTAGAGACATGCTTGATGAGAAGTATTAACCTAAGACAAAGTCTAGATAGTTAAATATATTTAATGTTGTGCCTTAATAAACTTTATAACCAAGAAAACATTTACATTTAGGTCTAATGAGTCAATCTGTTGAAGTTGATCCTTTTTCAGTTTTCTCTTAGAGAAGAAAAGATGAAACAATACTTTCCTTTCTAAATCTTTTATCAGTGTATTACAAATGAAAAGGCAGATATCAATGTATTTGTGAATTTGGTCAGAGATTTGAAATTTAAAAGTTAAGCAGAGAGCAACTTCCTAGACTTCAGAATAAAACTTTTCACATACACATTACTTTAGCGCTTTTTCTAGTGGTGAAATTCATATAGTTTATCTGATAAGATCTGGCTACGTGTTATCTTAGAAAAAGTTGCTGCAAATAGATACAATTTTAGAGCCACATGTGGCCCCAGAAATATCATCAGTCTCAGCACATTTTGTGTTTAACCATTTCTCTCCCCCAAATAAGTCTTGCTAACAAATTCTTGAACAACACGGAATCGTGGTCATGAGAGGCTGCATTACTTTCTAATCCAATATCTTGGTTTATGTATCATGACATTGGGTAGCTGCCTCCCAAATATCCCCAGAGTCCCATAGAACCATGTTTAGGTTTTCCTTCTTTACAACGGTCTTTATCTTCTTCACCAATAACAGTAATCAGTAACATCAGTGCTGAGCCTGAGACGACTTCAATGTCTCTGCCAAACCTGCTTCCAGTAATAGGCCAGTTCAGCTCCAGATCACACTCATTTAACAAACATCTATTGGCTACTGATTATGGTTATGAATGAAAGGATTATCAGGCATTTATGGCTGTTCGGTGCAATCCATATGCAATCCATACCTTCTTCAAAGCATAGTTTAGTTAGCTGTGCTTTAAAGCACAGGCTGCTGGGTAACCATTGGGATAGCTTCAGTTCTGCATTCTCTAGAATACAATTCCAGCAGCAAATTGGAAATATTGACATTTTCTTATTCTAAATCACTTAAAGAGTATATATTCAGATGCTGAACATGTAAATCTTGTAACTGAGTAATGCTCGATATGATGTATTTAAGAGAGTTTTGCTAACAAGTCACCAATGCTTACTGGGCAGGATGTGGAAACTTCTCTGCATTGGGTTCCCTTGTCTTCTCTACACGAAGTTTCAGAGTTAGATAAATGTTTTATAGTTATCTATTTAGCAAAAAAAAGTGTCTGTTCCGGTCCCCAACTGTAAGCAACAGGGAGGAGAAGTCAACAAAATGCAAATTTGGCAGTAGGTAGTTCTGTCCATTTTTTGCCCCATGAGAAGTCCCCCACCTTCTACAACAGGGGTGTTCACAATGAAGGATGTGGACTGGATGCCCTCCCTAACAACATTAGGTCAAGGACCTCTCGGAATTACAAACTGTCCATGACTTGCCTAGGGTAGGAGTGAGGAGAGGAAAATAGGGCAACGGAAATTAGAATTGTGTGAACAACAGAGTTTCTGTTGGGTGACCCAACTGAAAAATCAAACAAAAAAAATTAATTTGGAGTCAGCCCAAAGCACTCATCCAACTCAAAATGAAACAGCTCATTTTGCTTTCAAATCTCTTTTTATCACTTGAGACAAAATGTAAGTAAAGCTCTAAACCAAAGCACTATTTCCAAGTGCTTTGGAATATTTTCTTTAGAAAACGTCAGAATGAAATATTTCAATTTGATTTCCCTTTTCTGAGCTGTAACTATCGACTGAAATGAAATCCAACTTACTTGACTGAAAGTACATTTTTATTTTCTTCTGGTCAGTAACTGCCCCAGACATTTCCCCTGCTGTAAGGGAAATCCTATCCATCATCCTTCACACATCCACAAGCCACCTGTGTCTTGCAAGAAAAACTTAGTAGGACATTCTGCACATTCTGCTGTGTGACATTTCCAGGGTTCCAGCTCATTAGGTTTCCACTGTAGAATCTTTTAGCTGGTGGTTTTCAAGATTAGAGAAGTTAATAAATAGATGAATGACTGTCTTTTGCATTTGTGGACAAATGGTTTGTTTAGGTTTACCCAGAACATGGAAAGCTCAAGAGATGCATCTGACGTTTCTGGGTAGGGCAGCTCAAAAGAAGGGCAGCGTAGAAGGGGACTAGAAAAAGTAGAAGAAAGAAGAAAGTTAATTGTCCATTGGTAAAGAGATTGTATCAATGAGCAATAGTACACTTAGCTCTTGGTCTAGTCTTTCTAAATAAGGAAGAAAACAAGTATTTCTAGAACAAAGACATCTTATTCTGTTCAGAGGCATTACCTTCATAAACTTTGAATGGAGTTCTAACAAATCACACCTGGATAATTCCTTTTACCTTCCATCACCTGTAAAGGGAGAAGGTCATTGATAGTGAGATAAATTCCCTAATTTGTGTTTAGCTTCCCTGTCTTTGCTGTCAGCTGTTGCAAGTTTGAATGATAAGAGAAAGGATGTCAGCCAAGAACTCTTGACAATATAATTCCTTATCCCACAAGTTAGAAAATAAATATCCTATTCAATATAATAAAAGGTTAAATCCCTAAAGCTGTCATATGGTAACAAAGCCTGGCTGCCTGTGACTGTTGGGTCACTTCTTCCTTGACTGTGAAAAGGCATGTAATTCATATGTTGTCAGATACAAAGGAGAGTGTGGAGCAAAGCAAACCATGTTGATTGCATCTAGTTTGACAGGTGATAGACATCGTTACCTAGATGGATCATGTATCAGTTTAGAATGTGAGTTCCTACAAATGTTATTTCAGCTGTCATGAAATTTTTACATAGTATGGACAATTGCTTTTGTCTTGAAATCACTCTGGATCACAATCAACAAGGCATAGTTTAACCTTCTTTACTGCTAATTCATTACAATAGCTGATGTAAGACATTGCGACTACATCTGGTTTAGCTTTGATTTCTCTTTGAGTAATTGAGGAAGCTACACAGGCAGAAATGTTTTCCTGCCAGTATTTTTAGCACATTACAATACCCACTCATGATGAGTCTTTAAGATGCCTCTTCAGCACACATTTTAGAATTTGGATTTCCCTAAGATGCTGTGTCCACAAAACTTCACCTGTACTGCCAACTCAACTGGATCTCTTATTTGAGGAAAACTGTGGTGACTTTTTTTCCACTTCTTTTTCCTTTCTTTTTCTTTTTTCTTTTCTTCAAGATGTGGGCAAGATGCATGCTCTCCTGATGAAGAAATGGTAAAGCCTTGCTTAAGAGGGCTTCACCAGTTGCTGACAATCCACAATTACATAACTCCTCTGATTTTTTCACTATTTGGATGCTTTTTGACCTCTTTAACCTTCATGCAGTCACTAATGATCCTGGGTGTACCAGAGCGACTTGTCTGTCAGCCCAGGGGACACTGCTGAAGGAACAGATAATGACACCAAGCAATTCTCTTCTGAAGTGCTCCCAAATCTATGGTGCTACTGAGCACTCTTTGTCTTAGCACTATGGGTCAGTGAGTTTTCATGTAGCTCCTACTACTTGTCCATTTATCTCCATCTCGTCTGACTCAGGGGTGGACAGTCTGAAACTTTTTGTTATCAGCTGTTCAAGATAGGACATTACCTAGGGAGAATTAGTTAGGCAGATTCAATGAACCACACCAAAGACTCTCAGGAGAAGTGCTATTTTTCCAACAACTCCCCACAAGAAAGGCTGATCCACACACTCCCCACAAAGCCCTGGCCTTTGTTGAAATTTCAGATTTGGTGTCCCCAGACTGAGTTTGCATCCTTTCTGAATAGAAGAATACAGCCACTCGGCCCAGCAGCCCCCCAGGCATGATATGTCACCTCCCTTGCCTTTCAGTAAAAGAGAAAAGCTCTACAAGATGGCAAATATATTTATTGTAATAAATTAAAAAATAAGCATTTATAAAACAATCCATCTGCATATAAATATTACACTGCGGTTTTAATTTTACAGTTCACTCTGAAGCCTCTGGTCTCCATAAATACATTCCTGTGGCTATGTTTTAATTAATCCATATAAATACAAGTCATGTATAATTAATACAAAATTATTACCTTTAAATAAGTTACTATTAAATATGAGCAACAAAACTAATTTCTGAATGTCTAAAGTTCCAGCTTTTCAGGTAAAGGTCAGAAGAGGGCAACATACACAAGAGAGATTTTGAAATCAAAGACTGAAAACTTCCTGGCTATGGAGCACTGCCTACCTTGGCCAAAGCTGACTCAGAGGTGTCAAATCTCAGCCTATGAAATACAGAAAGAGTTGTCTTATTCCAGTGTGGATAAGAAGGATAGGAGCATGCTTTTGAAAGTAACCAGTGTGCAACACTGAAGTGGAACCACAAACACTGCTCTGCAGTCTTCGTTTTCAAAGAAGGCAGCAATACACATCCATCTGTGCCCTCCTGGTTTGCTATTTCTGGTACAGATTTAAACATGTACTGCAGCTGTGGGCGGGATTTTTTCCACAGTAGTTAATCAATTTGGGTAGTAGTAAGAGCTTTTGGAGACATTCCTTCAAGACTAATCTGGGTTTTTTTTTCAGTTTTTCTTCTTGTTCCCTCCCTTCTTTGGGGCATCAGTGCAAGCATTTTCTATGTAGTCAAACAGTAAATCCAGTTCTCCAATGGCTTTGTTCTTTCCATTCTCTCCCAGCTAGAAAAGAGCAGAACACAGGTTTTAAAATCTCTACATTTCTCAGAAGACTTAAATTAGGCTCGTTGAAGAAACTGCATAAAGAACTTACACTCGTTTCTCATAAGCAGTTCTGTTAAAGTCGTTATATCATAAAATATAAACTAGCTCATTCAAATCCAATCTAGTATACACAATGACTCGCAGCTCAATTTCTAAGGGCTAATTACTACAAGGTACGCAGAGAGATAACACCACAAATGAAGGAACTCTGGAACTGGAAACATGACTAGTCCCCTCTTTAACATCCCTGCAAACTTCACCTCTTACATAAATTCCAGAGCTCGCTTCAAAACTTTGTCAGCTTTAATTTAGCTAAACAACTGGAGTTTTGAACTGCACTTTTTAAAAACAGGGGAAAAATATACCTCTTTCATTTTGCTCTTCATTTCTTCCAGGTTCTTTTCAATATGCTCTCTGTTTCCTGAGGATTTCTAAAAAAGAGAAAATATCCAGAGGTAACATTGACAGCTGCACGTGACAGTATGCTGCTTTTTTTTTTTTTTTTTTTTTTTTTTTTTCCCCTTTTTCACACGTTTTTATCAACCTCTAGTTTGATATCTTAGATCTGAGGTTTCCTTTCATATCACTGCCTCTTGCCACTGTTCGCAGCTTTCTGAGATTCGGGAGCAGTGACAAGAATCACAGCCAGGGGAAAGAAACCCAATACTACTTACACATCTGCTCAGCTCCGAGGTCAGGGATGCCAGAAACTGTGCCACATCTTCAACGTATGGGTATCGCTCCTTGGCCTCTGTGAGGAGGACGTCCTTCAATATAATCTCTGTAATTCTCTTCATCATGTAGCAGCGGTTGTTCTCCTATGTGCGTAAGTAAGAGGTCATGTTAAATTGTGAAAAGCGGAGAATGAGTGCTGCAGAAGGACACGGGATCTGTCTCTAGCTGGGAGACTCACCCTGATGTTGACGTAGATTTGCTGACCAATAAATCTGTTGTCAGTGTCTTGATCTGAGACCCTGGCCTGAGGGGAAAAAAAAGGAAATGTCAGGTGAGAATCAACAGCGAACCATGAGGTTTCATCAATAACAATTCCAGTGACAAAAAGAAATGGACACTATAAGCAGGTAGATAAGGTACAGGAAGATAAGCTTGGAAATTTTGGCTGCTTCTCTCCATAACTGCATAAGAATCAAGGTCACAGGAAAGTAAATAAGCAGAAATCTGAATTCCTGTCCCTCTTGTAAACGTCAGAGGTCGTAGTGGTTATGATGACTAAACCAGAACCTGTGAGTGGCCATCCACAACATCTCCCGCAGTGCTGCATTGTCTCCCACAGTGCACAGCCCTCAAAGGTGTATGTGGGGGGGATCTACACATGGTAGAGATGGCCAAGAAACCTGTCCAGGCATAGAGCTGGAAAGCCAGACATGCCCAGCTCTGAGAACAAGAGTAATTAAAGATCATGTCTCGCAACTGTCCCTTCATACCAGCAGCCACTCCAAAGGAGCTAAGCAGCTTCCCTCGGCCACACCACCAGTGGGCAATGGGACTATTCCTCATGTCAACCTCTGTCCTACTGCAAATGTCTCTGGGTTTTTTTTTCTGGAGAAGTGCAGAAGAAGGAGAGAGAAATGATGAAGGCAAGAAACCAGGGCACAGAAGGAGGTCCTCACATTTTGCCATGAAGGGAAAGTGGGTTACCATACCATTTCAGCCAAGGTGTAGGTGCGATTCCTGATGTAGGGCAGCTGGAAGTTGATCTTCCTGAGCTTGCAGGCTTGATGGGCATTGGAAACCACCCCCATCCCTTTTGGAGGCAGGGGACTGGTGAGAAGAAGAGGGAGACAGCAACAGCAGCAGAAAATGACCCATACTGAGAAGCTCCTGGTCAGGGTGTGCAGGGTGGCCATGGCTCACGTCCGTCCCAGGGGCTGCAGATACAGCACTCAGCACTGATGAGAGAGAGCAGTGTTAGCATCGGGGAGAGTGAGCAAGGGCAAAGGGAGAGAGACACCCAGGCTGTAAGACTTACCTTTGCTGTGATTCTAGATGTGCTCTGAAGGAGGTGAGGTGTGCCTTATATAGGGCTATCAACATCTCTCGCAGCTTTTTTGGGGGGGAGTATTAGTGGTGAATTAAAAATGACATCAGCAAGTCTCTGACTTTCCTGTATCTTCTTCTGAGAACTTCCTAACCACTACAAAACCCACAAATACAACTTCAAGGCAATTGTAACCTTCAGGTTCTTATAAAGTAAACCAATTTTTAATGCAGGGACAAAGCAGGGGCTTTTACTGGGAATGGGATCCTGAATCCTTTTCTCATAAAAACATCTGAGAAGTTCATAGATTTGTGCCTTCCGTCCTGATTGTGTCACACTAACTGCAGTGGCAATTTGATGGCAAATAACATCATATATTTATGTTCATCTTCTGTAGTATAAGACTAGTGACCCACTGGAGCTGATGGCTGAACACAAATGATCAGAGATCACTCCAGACCTTGAACACTCTGACCAGGTGTGATACTCACCCCAAAAAATCCCTTCCCACACGGGTCTGCACTGGAGCCATGGGCTATCTGCCCATCACTGCATTTCTCTCTGGGACATCAGAAACTGTATAGGACCAGCACAGAATTTACCACATCCCTTATCCTCACACTCACATTTTCCAAAAAATGATCAATTTTTCAGGTTGTAACCAGGGGTAATAACCAGAGCTGAGGCCATGCACTTACACTTTATCTTTTTCTGAACACATTCACATCCTTCAATTCTCCATGCCTCTGTCACCCCAGTTACCTCCCATCTCATCTCTGCATGGCTCCGCGGCCTTTGGCACCTGCTCACCCTGAAACTGCTTCCAGCAGAGCCACCATCACCATGATACTTTCCATGACTCTCAGATGTATCCCACCCATTCTCATGCCTGGCTTCCAACAGCAAGCCTGGATTCAGGATGCTGACCACACAGTTCGTATCCCAGATGTACCAAAAGACTATTCAAGAACATGTTTATAAACTCTTTTCTGGGAATTTGTCATTTGCCAGGTGAATAAGCCCAGTGGGGGAGCAGGTCAATTAGAAGAAGGGAGGGTGCATTATAGGTAGACAAAAACAGGCAGAGAAGAACAAACTCGGAGAAATACAGGCAGAGACTGTTTCAAAGAGTTGGCCTCTGAAGTGCACTCCCATTAACTCCTCTTCAAGGGCTAACACAATCTGATAACTACTGCCTGCTTTGAATTCTAAGCTAGGTTTCTCTCATTTCTCTACCAGCTCATCCAGCAGTTCAGATGTCCCAAGCCCAGAACAAAAGCCGTGAACAGGAATTCTGACTATTTCCAAGGGGAGCAATCCCCGTCTTGCTCCAGATCCTGTCTTCCTGAACTTCTAGACCCCACCTCACATCCCTCTGATCACTCACTCTCATTTGACATGGTTCCAGTTTTGCTTGACCTCTTCTGGTAGCTCTGATCTCATGGACAATGCTTGTGGCCTGTGCAAGCATGTGCTGTAGTACACACATCTGTTCAAATTGCAGTGAGGAGACCACATGGTCTCAGGATTCCCCCAGTGATATCCCAGGGATATCTAAATAACATCAGGCAGATGGATGAGGAATTAGATGCTGAATCTGCCTCCTGCCCTCTTTTATGCAGTGACTACAGGATCTCTTCTATCTGGCTTCTCTAGTATTTGCAAATCATAGACTGGGATGTATATATTTCCAGAGGAAGCGTTAAGTCATACTTCATGAGCCTCTCTCCCATCTATGCTGTCAGAAATCTCTCTCAGTCACACATCATTGGCTCTGCCATGCTGTCTTCCTTCTGAGGCTTGCAAAATGTCCTTATTTCATTTATTTGCTTTATCTCTGCTGCTCATACCTTTATTTTCCAGACATCGAAAGGAAAATTTAAGTTTTAATTAATTCATACTTCATGAATTTCCTTTTTATGACATTTGTAAAGCCTTTGCATTACTTGATCTTTTGCTTGCCTTAGTGGGTTATAACAACATTGCTTCCCTCTTTCTAGCTTGCTGTGAATATGGCCAAGCCCAAAAATGAAATTTCAGAGTCTTTCTGGACACTAATTTTAGCAGTTCACATGGTTCTCCTTGCACATCAGTCCACAGTTGGAAGTTTCCTGACCACTTTTCACCAGGTGACTGCTGGTTCTTGATGTTCCTCTGGTTATGGCACAGCTATGGTCATGGCTGCAGTTATTCCCCTTAGTATGTCAAGATAAGATGTTTGGGAATGGAGATAGGCCTCCCATATCACCAGGAGAGCCCATTTTCATTTTCTATTTGTGATTTTCTGTAGGTTAAATGTTATTTTTAATATTTGAGGCTACTAATACTGTTAAAAAAAATTAATAAGAGAACATACATGTTTTGGTTCTATTTTAATCAAAAAGAACAAAGACCTCTCCTCTTCTATAAAGTATCTTTTGCATCGTATTTCTGAGTGTAATCGCTTCAAAAATAATTATGAAATTGTTCACAGATTGCATTTTCTTCTCCATGACGTCCCAAGAACCAAGCATCTATCCTACCACTAACCTCACTAATATAATTTTTAAGCGTAATTATGTGGAGTTTCCCTAATTCATTAAGAAACCATAGCGGTTGAATATTCTCGACAATGACTTCTTGACCCATATTGAACACAGAGGATTTTTTGAGGAGGACTGGAACCCTACATCACGCCTACCTCAAAAGCCACAGGCACTTCCTTCTTGCTTTGAATGAGGCCACAGGTGAATAACCAATACTGTACTTCCATGTTGTACTTCAATCTGTGTATCACTAGCACACTGCCATGCAGGAGGTTCCTTCAGCTTTAATACATTTTCAATTAGGTGGGTTTGCACCGTGTTATTAGAAACATCCTTAGGATCGAGCATCAGACTGGAAACATTGTCAAGAGCAGAGATGTTGAAGACTCTCTGCATTGTCCTCTTGGGTCTTCCACCTGACGATCTAATTCTCGTAAGTATTTGTACAAATGTACCATAGATGACAAAGTGTTCAAAACCCCTGAGCACAAGAAAGATGCAGAGCTCTTGGAACAGGTCCAGAGGAGGGCTAAGGTGATCAGAGGACTGGAGCACCTCTCCTATGAGGAAAGTTTGAGGGAACTGGGCTTGTTTAGCTTGGAGAAGAGAAGGTTCAGCGGAGACCTCATTGTGGCCTTCCAGTACTTGAGGGGAGTGTATAAACAGGAGGGAGTATGACTGTTTATATGGGTGGATAGTGATAGGACAAAGGGGAATGGTTTTAAACTAATACGGGGGAGGTTTAGGTTAGATATTAGGATGAGTTTTTCACACAGAGGGTGGTGATGCACCGGAACGGGTTGCCCAAGGAGGTTGTGGATGCCCCATCCCTGGAGGCATTCAAGGCCAGGCTGGATGTGGCTCTGGGCAGCCTGGTCTGGTGGTTGGCGATCCTGCACATAGCAGGGAGGTTGAAACTACATGATGTTTGGGGTCTTTTTCAACACAGGCCATTCCATGATTCTATGAATCTATCTGAAAACATCTCCAACTTTCAGGTCACTCTCATCCCCTGCACTTCTTTCCATTATTTACTTAATCAATTTTGGATTACAGTTTTATTTTATTATGATAAATACTTTTAAAATGCATTATCTCATGAATGAGCTAATTCACTGCACTTTATGTAAGCTCTTCTAGGCTAAGATTTATCGTAGTCTTTCAAAGTTGAAAAAAAGTAAAGCAGACTCTGAAAATATTTCAGATCACAGCAACAGAGTGGCTGAGGTTGGCCAGGCCCCCTGGGTCCATCTGCTCCACCCCCTGCCCAGCAGGGCCACCAGTGCAGGGTGCCCAGGGCCATTCCAGGAGGCTTCTGAAGATTTCCGGAGAGGAGATTCCAAAACCTCTCTGGGCAGCCTATGCCAGTGCTCCTTCACCTACACAGCACCTGCTGTTCAGAGGCAACCTCCTGTGCTCAGGGTTGTGCCCATGTCTCTTATCCTTGCACTGGGCACCACTGCAAAGAGCCTGGCTCCATCCTCTCTGCACCCTATCTTCAGATATTTGTTCACATTTTTCAGATCCCCCCAATCGTCTCCTTCTTCAGACAGAACAGTTCCAGCCCTCTCAGCCTCTCCTCATAGCAGTGGTGCATTGGGCTCTCCCCAGCACATCCATGTCTCTAGTGTACAGGAGGCACAGAACTGGGCATAACACTCCGTGTGTGGCTTCACCAGAACTGAACAGAGGTGAAGGAGGAGTGGTGATCAAGGTGATAAATCTCCAGAGGAGCCTTATTTTAGTCAGTTCTCTGCCCAACAATGAAAACATCAGTAATGAAAATTGATTCTTCTAACAGAGTACATACAGTATTTGAAATTCATATTTTTGCCTTAATCAAAGGCCTAATGATGAATTAGACAGAGAGAATTTGTTGGAAGGAGGATTATGTTATTAAAATTGCTTTGCCTGGGAACATTAGTTGAATCTGGAAAAGACCTCTGTATGGGGACACGCCAGTTCTCAGAGCAGATACCACTGACTCAGGCATTTTCCAGAGGATGTGCAATTCATATACCTCGCATGACCATGACACTTTTATACAGTTGACCATGACACTTTTATACAGTGAGTAACATATTTCCTCTGTTAGTAACACTTTTGCTTGTATATCTGATATTTCATCAGACACTTTTTCTGATCTTCAGTCAATTCTATTACATAATTTCTGGATCTATTACGTAAAGGATTTTATATAGTAAAAATTGTAAAATGGTATTTCATCTTATATAAAGTCTAAGTGGATCACAGAATCACAGAATCGTAGGGGTTGGAAGGGACCTCCAGAGATCATCGAGTCCAACCCCCCTGCCAAAGCAGGATCCCTACACCAGGTAGGATG